AAAATTCGTGCACTTGGGGCGGGGAGTCCCTCAGCCTGGCCTGTGTCTTCTCGCAGTCCAGGACCTCTTGGGGGATGTCCACCTGCCAGTTTAGGCCCCCTCCCTGGGGGATCAGGCCTAAGCTGGCAGACAGACATCCCTCTGGCAGCCTGGGAGCCGCAGTCGGACATCCTTAGTGCTGCCAAGGAGGCCGGAGAGGCTCCCGCCACTGTTGCTGTGCTTGCAGCCATCAGCCTGTCAGCCCGGCTTGTGACTGAGTAGAGATCCCCTGTGGGAGCACACTGACCACCAGGGGACAGCTCCTGCATTGAGCATCTGGTGGTCAGTGCATGTCATAGCCACCTGTCCTTCCCATTCGTTCCGCCTTTAGGGTCAATTTGCATATTACCCTTTTATTATATAGGATTTGTGAGTTCTTTGGTTAAAACTAGAATTCAGAGTTTTGTTAGAGAAATAAATAGGGTTCCTACATATGTTTGTTTTCTCTGTAATAGAAAACTAAGGAAACATAATTTCTATGGCCTGACTTCAACCTAGCCAGAAAGTAGGATTAGAAGATATCCAAATTTCTTTTAACTCTAGTAAAATATCTCATCAGGAAAAAATCCCTTTTTTCCCTTCTTGCCAGAAAGCAGACATAAAGTTGCTATCAAATGATAGAATTTTGGTTATTTTCAAGTACCTAGAAACACCTATTTTTTGTTTTCTTTTAAATATTCTATGTTGTTTCATCCATACATGGCTTATTTTTCACTGTCTTTTATCCCTGATCCCTGTTAACCACCTTAAGTCATTGAAAACAGGCAAGATATAAAACAGTATAGTTATAATATGAATTAAAAGTGGTTGGGCAGAATGATAAATTTGCCTTCTTCGCATTTGATTCTTGCTTTTATGTGGTGCATAGCAAAAGCCTCAAAGGTTTACAATTACTAGTAAGACAGCAGAAATGTTTAATGAACCAGTACCTTGTTAAAATGAAGAAAAATATTCAAATTATGTGTTTCCAGATGAACTCATTATTTCCATGGTTACTTTTTTGTGATATAAGGGAAATTGTTGCTGTAATATTTGTTTCCTAGATATAAAACTAAGATGGATAAACTTGACCTCAAAAGACCAAGTAATGCAGTCTAGTGAAAAAAAAGCATCTGAAATTTATATGTAAGACTCCCTAACAGAGTGAATAGAAATTCACACTTTTAATAGATTATACACATGTATGTACATATTTATGTGTAAGAAAGTAGGGGAAGTGGGAGCAGGAGAGAGTAAAGGAGAAAAAAGGAATCTTGATAAAGGTCAAGGTAATTCATTCCAGTAGTCCAGATGTAAAAATCTATGAACTGCAATTTCTTTCAGGCATTAAATTCATTTGCCAATGATTTTTCCTTATTCTTTCATTTTAAGGTAACAAGATCTTCCTTTAAAACACAAATACAAATAAAATGTTTTCCTTGACTGAGATTAGCTCATGTTCGCTAAAATTTTATAATAGAAATACTTTTGTGTACATTTTCACTCATTAAAAACAAACTTAAAAATAAATATACAAAAATATATTGGTTCCTTTACAATTTTATAAATTCTGTAGCTATTTCTCTATTTTAAACAACCTGAGGAAATTAGCTTATTTCCCTTATCAGACAGGGGATATTTATTCAGTAATTTCTTTCTGTTCAACCTGTGTTACTTGAGAATTTTATTTTCTTCAGGGCTAAACAGACTCCTGTTTTAGGAGCATCTATTGATTAGTACCCTTTTCTCTTTAACCTACATTTTACCTTTCGATGGTTCAGATGCTCTGAGTAAGAGACAGAGAATATGGGTAAGAAAGTGGTGCCTAACAGAACAGAATCAGTTTTATAAGTAGTCAGTCTGGGATGAGGAAAGTTCCCTAGGTTCCCAATCTTTTTCCCCCAAATACTTTCCAAGGACTTGCCAATGTTTAAGCGCCCACAGTTAGAGCTTAATGTATGCTAGAGTAGTGCTCTACTCCTTTGGTTTGGACTAAACAAGAGCACTCTTTGGGCTTAATTTTTTTTGTGAGGGCACTTAATTTTTTTGAAGCAAAATACTATCATCTGTATTTAAAATATGTTAAATGAATAATATCCAAAGGGAAAAACAGTTGACTTACCGAGGATGGTTATTTCAAAATGTCCAAGACTTTGGGCCCTCTTAAAATCATTAAGATTTGGGGAACTTTCTTCTGGTACTATGTATTTTGCAGGCTGACAATTATACTGCTGAATAAGAAAATTTTTGTGTTCGAAAACAAATTTCCGTGGAATACTTTCAGCATAAACAGGTCTGTAATATAGGTGCTCTCTTAAGCCAAACTTTTTCTCTCTCCACAGTTGACTTTCCCAACTATGAGTTAGAGTTTTTCTGGCTTTCCATTTAATACCAGTGCTTGCACTTTCTCTACCTGTTAAAGACACAATAAAATAAACACAATTGACCTATAAATTAACCGAATCAAACCATTTTCTACAAAAAAAGCAAAGATTAAGAAGGAATAGTTAACTTTAAAAATCTAACAACCACCTACAAAATGCAGAATTAATATCTAAAAGATATTTATTAAAGTGAGGAAAGAACAAAATTCACTTTCAAAATAAACTTTTACTCTAAAGAATTAAAAAGTAATATTGTTTTCTTTGCTAATGGCTTTATGGAGATTTGTTAATTATCTTCTTTATACTTTTTCTGTATTTTCTAAATGTTCATAAATAAACATATATTCCTTTTATATTCAGTGACAAGTTCAAGGTAAAACAAATTCGTGAGATTAATAACCTTTAGAGATGGGACCACCACTCACTATTGGTGGAATTTAAGGTTAAAACAATATTTTGTTCATCTTTGCTGAACAAAAAGTAGCCTGAACAAATACAAGACAGTCTTTTCCTTGGATATAACTCTCCTTCAAAAGGACCATTTATTTATATGACACCTCTTTCAGATATAACTGACATATGGAAAACAAAGAGAGAACTAAATTGAGATGAAAGATTGCTTCAATTCTGGATTGTTCTCTAACATCAAGTTAATTTATCATTTATGTACAGTTTGTCTAACACAGTTTCTAAGGCAAAATATAATACCTTCCCCACACATTACGACATTCATTCTTTCAGCAAATAATTATTAAGTACCTATTATGTACTAGACACTGTCCTAAGAAATTTTGTGAAATACGATTTTAATTGAATAATATACCCTGGAAACTGAAAATATTTGGTATAATCAGAAAAAAATAGATTTTGGAACAAGACCCTCATGTTGTCAGTTCTGCTAGCTGAGGAAAGCTGACAGCAACTCTGCTTCAAAGTTTACCATGGCTGCTGAATTGCTTCCATGTAGGCTGCTTATGCCTTGCTATTCATTATTACCCTAGCATTAAAAAAACACACACAACAACCTTGATGAGGCAGAAAGAAGCATCAACAGTAAGGTTTCAATTTGATTAATATACTACTTCTGCTTTACTAACTTTATTCCATATTCTTAGGCTACTTTTTGGGTTACTTTTTAAAAAAATATTTTTATTGATTTCAGAGAGGAAGGGAGAGGGAGAGAGAGAGAGATAGAAACATCAATGATGGGAGTGAATCATTGATAGGCTGCCTCCTGCACACCCCTGACTAGGGATAGAGCCTGCAACCAGGGCATGTGCCCTTGACTGGAATCGAACTTGGGACCCTTCATTCGGCAGATCAATGCTCTATCCACTGAGCCAAATCAGCTACTTTTTGGTTTCTTAAAACACACAAGAGACTTACTAAAATTTTATTACAAGGTAAAATACTAGATTAAATTATAATAAAAGATGAAGATGAATATATACTTCTAACCAGGAATTTAAAATACTGAAATATTCCAAGACTATTTAAACTCAAATTTCAGTTGATGAATTCATTTAACATCTCATAAAATGCTTGACAACAAAAATAATAAAATATTTAATCACACATGAAAAGGAAAGGAATCAATAAATGCCAACAGAAAAACTCAGTTAATAGTATTAGACTAAAGTGAGAATTGGGCAATGATTTAATATTTTTACTTTCTAGAAATAAATCTCCCCTCCCCAAACTAATAAAAGTACATAATTAGAGCAGCAATAAGTAGCTATGACAATGTCCCAAGTTATATTGTGTGTTCATGATTGACTTGTTAAAAAATATAGCATGCAAAGAACAAGTTTAATTTTTAAAAATTGAATAATTACATTTACCTTATAAAAAAATCCTATGGTTGACCCTGGCAGGAATAACTCAAAATATTTTCTATGCCTATTTTGTTTTTTAAAAAAATATATTTTATTGGTTTTTTACAGAGAGGAAAAGAGAGGGATAGAGAGTTAGAAACATCGATGAGAGAGAAAAATCGATCAGCTGCCTCCCACACACCCCCCACTAGAGATGTGCCCGCAACCAAGGCACATGCCCTTGACCGGAATCGAACCCAGCACCCTTCAGTCCGCAGGCCAACACTCTATCCAGTGAGCCAAACTGGTCAGGGCTATGCCTATTTTCTTTTTTCAGTGTTAATATTAAGGACTGGCAAGGTACAAATATTTATCGTAAAAATTCCTCTGAAAAACCATGCTTTTTATTTTTTAATTTAGTAACTTGGACTGTAATTACCTATCCCAATTATATGTTCATAATCAATACAAATGTGTATAAATTTAATAAAAGAGGTATTTGTAGACACTGGTTATCAACAGCAATATTTTATTTATTTATTTATTTATATTTTTATTGCTTAAAGTATTACAAAGAGTATATTAGAGAATACTTAAAAATTTTAATTTAAT